GTGATTTTGCTAAAACCTCTGTAGTTGGTGCCACAGATTCAACATCCTGACTGCTCGTCCTTTGTATGGTGCAAAGATCCAATCTCTTATCCAGCTCAGGCTAAACTAAAACAGCAGCCTCTCTGTGAGTAATCAGCACTTTCCATCAGCTGCTCTTCCCTCAGGCAGGATCGGCTCAAACACAAGCTCACAGTTTTATTAAAAAGAAACGGAGAACTTCGACAGTCACATGCTCAAAAAGCACGGCCGTGTTACTCGACCACGTTTCTCACGGCTTTGATGTCATCGTGCAGCCGAGGGACAAATGAAACAAAGTCAGATAATCACACGAATAACCACGAACGCACCGAGCCACCATGCACACCAGAGAAGCACACGAATAATAAAGACATAGAAGAGTGAATATTGAGGTGAAGAAGCCAGAAATAAAAATTCACCAAATCAAGGAGAGAAAGGCGGATTTTCATTCAGCCAGTTTTAACGTGACAAATTCAGATTGTTTCTACTCACCAGGTGAGAGTCTCTCAGCAGACACTGAAGACATTTAGTGTAAAGACCGTTCACCGAGTCCTGACAGGAAACAGAACAGCTGTTAGCTCAGCAGGAAAAAACAAATCGAACGCAAAAATCTTCTAAAGACTCGAAAACATTCAAACACATTAACGCTAAAAAGATGAACACTCTTTTCATCATTGTTGTCATGAATTAAATCACTTTTCAAAGTAAAAAAGTGAAGCTAGCGTGGAGGAGCCTTAAACCTGCACTCTTTTTGATGGCCACTGGGGGGCGATAGCTGCAGCTGTACAATGACAAGTTCTGTAGACATGTGACATCAACTTGTCTGCCAATAACAGCTGCAACCAGCTGCGAGTGACGCTGGAGACCGATGGTAGCTGCTGGGAAACCATCGCTCAAATCAGTCGTGACCCTGGTAACCACCAGACACCGGGGGAAACATGGATTACCCAACCGGTTGGATAAACCTTGTGATTGCATCAGTATTTCTGCCTTATCTGAGTCACGGGAGCGCAAACCTGTCTGTGGTAAAAGACGAAACCTGTAAGGCTGTTTTATGTGCAGATTATGCTATTTTAGGTCAGACGCGCTCTGTTTCCTTCAGCCCCCGTTTGTCACTCTAGTCCGTTTATCACCAGGTGTTTTGTGTCTGTCGTCCCTACTATGTGGTGCCGGAGTCCCTTCCTCTCCTGCTCCCTGAAGGCCTGACAGAAGCTCTGGATGTGCTTGTCCATCTTCTGGGCATGGCGGCCCAGGAACTCCCTGACGTCCTCCAGGCTCCTCAGGCTGTAAGAAGACGGCGTGCTGACCTCGGACAGGCTCGGGTCCACCTCCATGGGCCTGGAGACGCACAGGATGCTGTAGCTTTGCTCCCGGTCGTTGTAGAAGGTCTCCTCGAACAGGATGGGGATCGATACTGGAGCCGGGAACCCGGATCCCAGCAGGACCTGCCTGTCCTGGATCCGGACCTCCTGTAACACACAGAGGAAAAACAGCCTCTTTTTGTATTTTTAGGGCTGTAAAAGTAGGACAGCAGTGCATTTAAACTCAGCCTCTGCAACAATGAGCAGCACAGACTGGCTTGTGTTGAAGACAGACCTTCCCGTCCGCAGTCTTATAACCGTCCTCCTCGGGCTGCAGCACATAGCTGTCGAAGTGAGAGTCCGAGTAGCTGCTGAGGGTCAAACTTCCACAGCACGGCACCAGAACCTGCAGGTTCAAGGCAACACGCAGGGTATTCAATTTATTAACCACTCAGCACAGATTTAGAGCGACCTTTCCACACTAACGACAATCAGATAAGGTCTGATCTGTGTTAGGGAGCAGAAAATAGGATCAAATGGTACAAAGAGTGGAGTCTTCACTGCATTAACTGCGGTTAGATGATGAACAGCACTGAAATGGCTCCTGGCCTCTAACTCACTTACGCTTTTATAAGAATAGATGTTTATCGTGAAGTATACGGCACGTCGGTGTGCTGGGAGTATTAACATACAGAGCCGAGGCTCCACAGTGTTTCTCTGCACAGTCGAGTATCTGATGGTCTGAAAATAGCGCAGAAACACTGACATTAAACAGGCGTCATTTGTTTTTAAGATGTTCACATGAAGTCAATAAATGCACATGACCTGATCGGCAGCATCTGATTAAGGATCTGAAGACGCGGTCACGAGCCGGAGCAGCTGCTGAAGCTGACGTAGGCACAGCATGTGCATGAATAACTGATTTTTCCGGCTCTGCTGCGAACCACAGCTTTAATGCAGTTACATGCATTTTTTCCCCCCACTGATGTTTTGACGGCGTGCAGATGACCCGACTGGCCGGCGTTCAGACATCTGATTCTCATCTGCCGCTCCAGGCGTCCGATCGTCATCTTTAACAAGCTCAAACGAGGTTTAGAGCGCCGCTTTGCAGCTCGTCAGCTCATCTGATATCTCTGCGCTTCACTGAGATCCAAATGAAATCAACCCCAAAACAACGCTCCTCTAACTCAGCGAGAGTGAAGGGATGGCAGCAGAGTGCGTTGAAACCACCACGCTGACCCACAGTGAGGCAGGAAGTGGTGTAAAGGTGTCGCTGTGTTTGAAACGCGCTTCTTCATTTAAACATTTTAACAGGGATAATGTCCCCGACTCTGATCGTTAACCTGCTTTAAGGAGCTGGTGTGATTCTCAGCTGTTTGTAGGCGCAGCCTTCAACCCTGCAGCTCTGCAGCGGCTCACACCTGGACTTATTCAGGCTGCAGTTATTTTGAGCTCTGTGCCGTTTCCTCATTTTCACCTCCCCCCTGTTTTTTACTAATGCAAACCTTCCTGAGCAGAGACAGAGATGCTCAGACCCACAGCCACCGACAGACGATGCAATACGAGGGTCTCCAGCTGCACACTGATGTGTTCCTAACACAGACGAGCAGCGCCGTCTCTCTGGCGTGTGCTGGATCTGCCTCGCGGTCTCATGCCTGACATCACTTCCTCCGTGAGGCAGCCGGGTCAGATGGAGCTGAGCTCCTCACCCTGTCAC